GAAATCAAAAGGGGGCAATCGTGGCGGCGGGGCCCCCCAGGGAGGTCTCCCAGGGCTTGCCCACCACCATGGGAGACCTCCCTGGGGGTCCCTGCCACCGCGATCGGCGCCTTCGGATGTCTCAAAGGGCTTTCCCCCCGACATCAGAGGAAGCCGTTTGAGACCTCTGAAGCCAAAAAGGCAGAGATAAAGGGCGGGAAATTTGTATTTCCAGCCCTTTCTCCCTGCCTTTTTGCAGGGAGCCATTTACGAACAGCTCCGTTTGCAAAAAATGGCATTGACTTGCGAACAGAGCCTTGACCTCATTCATAGGTTGAGCTCCATTCGCAAGTCAATGCCAATTTTTGCCAACGGAGCTGTTCGTAAATCGAAAAGTTCATATCTAGGGGCGTTCGTAAGGGTTAACTGTAAAAGCCTTCTGGAACAGGAAGGTTTTGACCTGGTGCCGAAATGTCATCAGCGTCAGCACAAGACGAATCTCAATTGGGATGGTATTATATAGTCTGGGGGCAGCTCCCGCGAAGGCCCTTTGTCTACAAGCCATCCCTCCTACCTTCTTGAGGAATGGCTCTTTCAAAAGGGCCCCCTGGCTAAATCTTAACTGCCAGGCAGGTTCATATGGATGTGTTTTGACAAGGCACCAGTTATACTATATTACTGATTTGTACATCAGCTCTTTATGTTGTCATTAAGCAAGCAGGTTGTAACATAATTTGTTTATAAAAGAGTTCCATGAACATATACTCAAGTTTAAATCCCAATCTGTTCAATGGGACTTACTCCTAGAGAACTGAACTCAATGTTGTGCTTATACAGGACATATATGTATTACAACCAACCGAGCAGTCCTTCCTCCTATAGTGGAACCTTGACTTACGAACGTCCCTACCTACGAACATTTTAACTTACAAACGGCTCTGTTCGCAAAAATCTGCAGTGACTTGCGAATGGAGCCTTGAGCTACGAATGAAAAAAAGGCAGGGGAAAAGGGTGGGAATTTCAAATTTCCCCTGCCTTTTTTCATTCCATTCAAACCATTTGTGGTGAACAGGCTGCTCTTTCGCCCCAATGGCTAGGAAAAGGGACCCCCAGGAGGTCTGCGATGGCAGTGGGGAAGCCTTGGGAGACCTGGGGGTCCTCCGCCACCGCAATCGGCACATTTGGAGGTCTCCTGGGAGTCCAATGGCAGTGGCAGTGGACCCTCAGGAGGTCTCTGATGGCGGCAGGGAAGCCCTGGGAGACATCCCGGGCGTCCCCCACTGCCGCGATCAGAGGCAGCAGACACCCAGTGCCGGGAGGCTTGAGCTGAGACACAGCAGCAGTGATCGCAATGGTGGGGGACCCCCAGGAGGCTTTGGACGGGTGATTTTTTTTCTTTCTAAAAACTGTTCTGGGTGGCTTTTGCAGGATGGGTTTGGGCTGGGGGGTTATATTTCTGAGCTGTTTTTTTTTTTTTCAGTCCCAGCGTGGAACTTGCTCCAATGTTTATTTTTGGATTTATGTTTTTGGTTTTTGTTATTTTGCAGTCCCAGCGTAGGACATGCAGTGTTTTTTCCCCCCTTCCCTCGGAACGCATTAATCGGTTTTCAATGCATTCCTATGGGAAATGGTGCCTCGACCTATGAACTTTTCACCTTGCGAATACTATTACAATATGGATTAAGTTCGTAAGTCGAGGTACCACTGTGCTAAGCATGTGTACCGATCACACTCTACATTTTAAATAGCAGTACACTGAATCTTGCATTTTCTGGCTAACTGAGCAGAATGAGGGGAGAGATAATTCAAAAGTCCTTCATCTCTAATTTACCAACAGGCACTAATTACAATTATTTATGATTTAATTCTACACTAAACATGAAAACAATGCCTCTAATTATCTGAATACCTAGTACCACATTTAAACTTTTCTGAAAACTACTAATGAGTATATACAAGCACCTTTGAGTGATTTAAAAACTTACATTAGGTATTTCAAAATGTTTGCTAGATTCTGTCTCTAAATCTGCAGGTAGGAAAAGCCAACAAGTATGAGTTAATGAAAAGCGTGCAGGAAGTCCAACTGTAAAACTATATGAGTGGTGGTGGTGAGAGAGGCAGTGCTTCTACAGTTCTAGGAATGTAGAAAAATTACAGGAAGGCTCACCAGAATTGTAAGAAGTGCCATTTTTAACACATACCTGTTATGCAGTTTTTGCAGGAAATCAAAACATTGGCTTTTTGTCAATGGAAAAATGCTTTCTTTTCAGTTTCCTATTGTATTGCCTTCTGGAGTGCACCCTGTACTGTCCTTGGGCAAAATCATAGCCACCATGACACCACCAGTGGCAAATCACAAGTTGTTGTCCTGTCACTTTGAGCTTCATTTATTTGATCATGTTAATATGGATCATGTTCAACTTTTATGTGGGATAGCCAGTGTGGTACAGAAAAGTGCTGGGCTGGAATGTAGAGGACCTGGGCTTGATTCCATTTTCAGTCACAGAAAATTGGAGGAGTGGGTTGGAACCGGTAAAATCACTCCTTAAATATCTCATTTAACTTAACCATATTAGGGTTATTGTAAGTCCAATTCAACTTGAGGGCACATAGATAATAAACATTTATTTACTGTTAATGAGATTCAGCACCTGCTACTGTGTTACAACCACAACAGTATCTTTCTTATTTATTTATTTATTTAT